CACTGGTTCATCTTTAAAAAGTCACCAAAAACACATTAACTCATAATTTGCCCTAAGGCCAGCCCTTTTTGCTCAGAAAGACAGCATAGAAGGAGATAAAGATACTGGATTGGATTTCAAGCGACTGGCTGAAGCACTGATTCTGCCACAAATTAGCCAAAGATTTTTGGCATGACTTTGTCCTCTCTGTGTTTCCCCATAAGGAAACCAAGAATGTTAAATCATTCTGTCAAGGCTACAGAGGAGATGAAGTGGTTATATCACTGACCCAGAGGGTTTCTGGATAGTCCAAGCCTTTCCACCTACCCCATACAGGAGGACCAGGAAGGATCTGAGAGAGAAGACTGACTTAATCAAACCAGTGTCTTAATTAAGAGAACTGCTTTAGGAATACATAATCCCAGGTTAAAGGCCTGTCTCTATCACTGTGTGTAGCCTTGGGAAGTCATTTCACCTCTCTGAACTTTAGTTCTTTCATTTGTAAAATGGGATTTATAATAGTTCCTGAGTAAGGGATTGTAACAAATGCATGAGCTAATGTCTGCAAAGTATCTACCACCCAGAAGAACTCAGTAATAGAGCATTGTTTTAATAATCACTGCTGGTTCCAGTTGTGGGTAGACCACAGTGTTGGGCATGGTATTCTTTATTAGAGCCAGAGGGAGTACACATGTCCATTCCAAACATTATCCAATGTCATAAAGCTCTTTATGGGGATGGTGGCCATCCTGGGGACAAGCTTAGAAAAAGGTGATCAGCCTTTTTCAACCAAATTCCTTTTTGCCAACCAAATTCCTATGATTCCCTATAACCCAGAAAGAGGTGCCAGCGTCTGTCTTTCCCCATCCTACCCAGAAGACCAGTTCTGCAGGACTGGAGTGGACTTCACACTACACCTTGCCCAGTCCTCTTACCCCAAGGTACAATGTAAGGAGGAGTCATGACCTACTCAAGTCTTATAGAGTGCAGATGGCATAGCAAGCCCTCTACAAATAGCGTTAATATTACTCCTATCTCCTCTCCATCCTCCTCCTGGGCTCTTTGACATATCACACTGGAAACAACCAGTGAAGCTGTATGATTAGGGCCCTGTGTGTGCCTGTGTGTTTCTCTGTGACCTTCAGCTTGTCACTTTCTATGACTCTCGGTTTCTTCCTCTATAGCAACACCATCCAATAGAAACAGAATGAGAGCCATGTATGTCATTTTAAGTATTTTAATAGTCACTTTACAAAAATGAAAAAGAATAGGGAAGGTTGGCTAGCAATGTATTTTACTTAACCTGGTGTCTCAAAAAATATTATCATTTCAACATGGAATCAATTTTTAAAAATCATTAATGAGATATTTTACAATCCTTCCATCTTACTAAGTCTTCAAAATCTCAGGGGTTCTCAACTGAGGGTCATTTTGGTCAAAACCAAAAGGAGCCCCGCTGCTGTGGCACAGCAGTAACACTAGTGCGCTGCAATTCTGGCAGCCACATGGCAACCATGGTTTGGATCCCGGGTCAGCCTGATGAAGACGTGGGTGCTCAGGGTCCTGAGGAGCTGGAAGACAGGATTGTAACACAATGAGATCATGTCAAAGCTTCTCTTTCTCTCTCTCTCATACATGCTCTAGCTCTTTTCAAAAAAGAAAAGGTAAACAAAACAAAACTGGGATCTCTGGGAGGGGCAGAGATCATGGGTGCTGTTGTTTAGAGGGGAGATCAGGGGTGCTGCTAAATATTCTATGATGCATGGAACAGCCCCTGTAGCAAAGAATTATCTATTCTAAATGTAACAGGGCCTGTATTATCGTTACAGATATTGCCATTGGGATTGGCTGCATATCAGGTTCTTATTGGCCACACGTGGTTGGTGGCCACCATATTGGACAGGGTAGCTCTGTCACATAAAATATCTGGGCATGGATTTACAAGAGTCAGCTTTTAGAAACTTGGGTTTTGATAAATTTGTTTTCCTGCTTTTCCCTTAATAATTGGCCAAAAGACTTGTGGCTGGTTCCCAGTCCCTGGCTAGCTTAGGACAGAGCCCATCTGTCCCTGTCTGAGCAGACCCTTCCAAAGCCACCCACCCTCCCCAGAAAGACTGAGCCTAGGACAGACAGTGAGTCCTGTTCTTTTCTAGGGAGACAATGCTGCAGTCCCTGCTACCTGCCTGACAGGGCCATTGTGGCTCGAGGAGAAAAGGGCTTTGTCAGAACAGCAGCCGAGGAGCCCATAGTTCAATGGGGCCCTTTATGTCTGCACTGGTGAGAGGCTCTGATGCCAGCCCGCAAGGCCCAGCCCCCTCCTGGAGCAGATGAGGAGCCTGAGGCCCAGAGTGTGTGGAAGGCCCTGCAGTGGATTCCAGCTTCCTCTGCCTCATGTCACTGCCTTAAAACACTAAATACACCAATCTCTGAAGCCTTGTCTTAAAGAACAAGATGAACCTAGTATTACTCTTCGTTCCAAGCAGCAGGACCTCTGTTCTGGGCACTGAAATTTAGTGGATCTGAAAACATCATAAAAATAATGTATTGAAGAACACATGTGTGCACCTGTCTCTCAGGATTTGAGCTCAGCTTTGGCAACCACATCCTCTCTTGTGATTTAAAAAGTCAGGCCACTAAGAGAAGCTACTAGATATTAAATGTTCTACACACACACACACACACACACACACAGGTGCACGCACACAGACACACAAGTAATTATGCAAGGTAGTGGATTTATTAACTAGCTTGATTGTGGTCATCGCTTCAGGATGTATGCATATAGACAAAGGATAAGTTAAAGTATTTTTTTTGTCAAATCCTCCCTCTCAGATAGCAGGGTTGCTTGTATTTTCAGAATGAAGGATCATTCCCAAAGAGGCCGATCATCCAGTGTCTTGCCACCCTGGGTTCCAGTTCATACTGGTCTTGGAAGTACTCACCTCCCTTAGAACTCCAGCACCACAGCCCTCCAAAGTGAGGGGCAGGCCTGGGTGTGCTTAATGACCTATGGAGTTGGATATGTTCTATTGGCAATGCTTGTGCCTTCCCTTTCTCTTCTACCCGCTGTCTTCCCTGCCCCACCCAGACCCAAAGGTGGTTTCCACACAGAGAGGGGCAAACAGGAGGCTGTTCCATTTGATAAATGAGGAAACTGATCCTTAGAAAAAGTAAGCCATTTGTTTTAAAGTCTTCCAGCAAGTTAGGGGAAGTCACATGCTGGAAGACCCCCATGCTTGAGGCCCAGCTAGGGGCAGCCAGACAGTGGAGGGCGGTAGCTGGAAGGACAGGCTGGGGCCCAAGCAGCTCTGTTCATTCTTGCTCCTTCATTCACTAGCTGTGGGGCCCTGGGAGCAAGTATCTCAGACTATTTAAAATATATGCTATTTTCCTGATACTGTACAAAAGGTTAACATGAAGGTTAACTGAGAACTCTCTGTATTAGGGATCCCCAAGCCATGGACTATGGACCAATGCTAGTTCGCTGGCCCTTCAGTGTGGGGTAGGGGGTGGGTAAGAGAGTGAGGTTTCATCTCAGTTTTCAGACGCTTCCCATCGCTGGCGTTGCCACCTGGACTCTGCCTCCTGTCGGATAGCAGAGGAGCAGGATTTTCACAGGAGCATGAACCATATTATCCCGTGACTGTTCCATTGTATATTGCAATGTGGCAGTGGTGAAAATGGGGTACACGGTGGATGTGGTGTGCTTGGGTCAGCCTGGAACAAACACCCCTTTCATCCCATTCATGGAGGGATTGTCTTCCAGGAGGCCGGTCTCTTGCGCCACAAAGGTTGGGATCCACTGCTCTCAACTATTTTGGTAACTTTCCTAGTAGTCTAAGATGATCTCATAATGCAAAGTGTGCTAACAGACAGCTTTCTCTCGTTCGTAACATGGAGATGGAAAGGGTACCTGCCTCCTGGGAGGCTTATGCTATCGGTTGCCAGAAGAAGTCATGACACATTTTTGTCATTTTGTGACTTTTCCGACAACCTAATATCAGTCTGTGAAGGGCATAGCACCCGGTCTGTCTGGTAGCAAAGACTGGATAGAGGATTATATCTGAAAGCTGCCTCTTCTGGGAAGCCTGTGGCCAACACTGCTGGAACCGAACACCACTTTCGTATCAGTTACTCCCTCACTTCCCAAGAGCATAGGTTATTTTGGTCTGAAGTCCCAGGTGACTTTGCATGGTCACTAAGAAAGAGCATAAGTCTCTTCCTGGCTCTTCCGCTTGATCACCATGCCTCAGTTTCTTCTCTGTCAGTAATACAAGGGTGGCATGAGCTCTAACTGACTTACGTAGGTAGCTGTCTTTATGATCCAGTGTTCTTCTAACTTTTACTCTTACTTATGGTAACAAACATTCCACCCCAACTATGCCTATCTATAGCTATACCCATATATCATTTTAATGGTAATTTAGAAAACATTGGTCTCAGTCACTTAATTTTCATCCTTCTACTCAATTTACCAAAGTGCCCATCACCCATTCATTTGACATCAATATGTATTGATATTTATTGGGCACTCACTATGTACCTGTTAACTCCTAGTGCCCAGCACAGATCAGACCTGAGTTAAAAGAATGAATAAAGTAAGGGAAGAGGGGAGGGAGGAAAGAGGAAGGAGGAAAAGAGAGGGAGGGAGGGAGAGGAGGACGGGGGAGGGAAGGGAGGAAACCCAGGTTCCCTGACCCTTTTGAAGGGACAGGGTAGCACCTGGCAGCAGTGCCCCTTCCACCTCCACGTTGCCACTTCCACCTGAGCCGGAAAGTTGTTGTCCCCGCTCCCGCCATCCTGGAGCCCATGAACTGTGTCACTGGGGAACCAAACTGGTTGCTGGTCCAGGCGTCTGGAAGGGGCGGTGCCCGGGGACCCGCCCCCTTGCCTCCTTCCCCCGGCGCTGGGCGGTGACTCCACGGCCGGGAGCCTGGCAGCGTCCGCACCCGGGAAGGGCATGCGCCCCTCTGCGGGCGGCCGGAGCGCTGGGTCCCCAGCCCCCGGAATTGCTCAAGACGTCCGGTGACTCTTCCTTGGGGACCCTCCCCCTCTGAGGTGCGTCATTCTCCCCACCCTTGGGTCCCGACCCCGGCGGCTTCTCGCGTGCGAGACACGCCGGGGACACGTCTTGGCTACCTGCTCCGGAGCGGAGGATCCGGGGCTCCATCCGCCCAGGGCCCCATGGAGCTGCGGGTCAGCAACACCAGCTGCGAGAACGGTGCGTGCGTGCGGGCTCTGAGCTTCGCGCCTTCCCCTCCCGGCACCTCCTGCCCTTCCCGCTTCCCCTACCCCAGACCGGGGGAGGGCCGGGCCAGCGTAAGTTGGTCCCACAACTTCTCATGCAGGTCTTGAAGATTAGGGTTCTGCCTGGGACTCACCTCCATCTTCGCCGCTGGAGTGGATGACGGGGAGAAAGGGAGGAAAGGGGGCAAAGGGGCGGGAGCCGGGAGGCGGGGCTGCGGGAAGGGAGAGAGCATTACCGACTGGGGCAATTATTGCCGCGGGATGGGGGTTCTGGGGATCTCTGGGTCAGTGCAAGGCCCACTGAAAATAGAAGGAATAGAGGCACAGAGACTCGCCCCCCAAACTCCTGCACCCCTAGAAACGGGAGAAAGAAAGGCCAATAAAGACCCTTGGGTTCATGCTGAGTTCTTTCCAAAAACCAGGTAGTGGACTAGGCCCTTTTCCTGCATTATCTCATCTAACCCTTAGAGGGACTCTAGAGGAAGGTATTATTTTACTATCCCCATTCTAGAGGTATAGAAACCGAGGCTTTGAAAAGGTTAGCCATTCCCTCAAGGTGATCATGCAGAGGGGAAATGGAGTTTGAAGCCAGAGCTCCCGGGTTCTAAAACCTGCGCTGCTGTTGCTGTTCTCAACTCTGTTCCTCGTACACCTCCGCGTTCCCACTGCTCTTGGTATTGCAGTTGGGGCTATCCCTGCTTCTCCTTTCTTCTATCCTGCAGTGAAGCTTTCAAAGCCAGCCTGTTGGGTGTTGGCCAGCTTTGGTTTCCTGACCAAGGAGGCTGCCTCACCTCTTCTCCTAGGGCAGAATGGGCTCCCCAAGCCCTGTGTATTCTGAAAGAGAAGACAGGAATCATCTAGCCCAGCACCATTTGTCAGATGAGCACCCAGCTCAGAATTGGATTTCCTTTGCCCACTCACTCTCTTCTTTCTTTCTTTCTTTTTTTTTTTTTTT